AAAAAAGTTTGTGCAATTTAGATTACTCATTGTGCCACAATTAGCATTTTAATTTTAGCAATTATTTTTGAATTTTAACATTTCACAAATACTTTTGCTAGGGGAGTGTAATACAAATATTAGTACAAATTATTGATTAAATAAACCAGAAAGTTCAATTTTAAGATTTTAAATAATAGTAAGTTCATTGACACATTTAGAATATATAAAGAAGTTATAAAAAATACAGAATTATAAAATAATACAGAATTAAACTTCATATCGGAAAATGGTAATGGAGAAATAAAAAGTAGAATTGATTATATTTGGATATTGGATAATTTAGCAGATCAACTATTTTATGGAGATATTATATCAGCACATTTGACAAGTCAAAGTGATCATGCATGTGCTATTATAGAAATAGAAACAAACATTTTTGAAAAACAAAAACCAATGTTAAAAAAAAACTGAATATCAGAAAAGAATAGAATTTAATTTCAAAGAAACAAATGAAAGATAATTGAAAAAGTAATAGAACAAAATAAAATAAAAGACAATGATATTAATAAAAAATGTAAATTTTTTCAAAAAACAATAATTCAAACAGCAAATGAGATAATATCCAAAAGAAAATTTCACACTTTTAGAAGGGAGAAAAAAGTAAAATATTACATAATTATCTTGAAACTTATAGGAAAGTAGCAGCATTACATAAAAATTTTAATTGGGGTTGACAATGGTATATGAGCAAAAACAAAGAACAGTAATGGAACTTAAAATCAATCAAAAAATTGATGAAATAAAAAAAGGATATGAAATAGAGATAGTAATACCAAGTTGGAAGAAAACAAAAAGAGGTAAAAAATAACACCAGTTATTACGCAAAATATTTGAAACTATAAAGGAAGAAAATTATAAAGGCATACAAAAACAAATAGTAGAGAGAAATAAAAATTTTTTAGATAATAAAAACAAAGTTATTAGAAGCTTATTAAACAAAGAGTGACCAAGAATTATAAAAAATAGTATAGTAAGATGTGTTGGCATAGAAATGATAATAGATCCAATAGAATTAAAACAAAAAATACAAAATATATTTACACATTGGGTAACAAAAGAAAAAGTAGAAAATCCAAAGTATTATTCAGAATGGAAAGAAATATATAGTAACTCAAAGAGTCAAATTAAAGAAGAATGGTATTCAACATTAACACAAGAGTTTGCTAAAGAGAGATAAGTAAAATAATTAGAAATCACCTAATAAGAAGGCACCAGGTTCATCTACAAATGCTAATGAACTATGAAAGCACATGGGTGACAATTCAATACAATATCTTGTCAACTAGTTTAATCAAATGCTACAAGAAAAGATTCCAGATGAATGGAAAATGGGCTATATATTTCCAATAACAAAATCAGAAGATTGGAAGAAAAATATATAGAATACAAGACCAATTATGCTTCTAGAAACAGCAAGAAAGATATTTACAAAAGGAATATATAATAGACTAAGTAGAATTTTATTGGAACACAAAATATTAAATGAGAATAATTGAACAGGATTACCAGCAAGATCAACTCAAAATCCAATACATATACTTAATAATTGTATAGAAGAAGCAAAAGAATTCAATAAAGAACTTTGGATCCTATCACAAGATATTTCTAAGGCCTTTGATTCAATAAAAACAGAAGTATTTAAAGAAAAGTATGAAAAGAATTAAAATGCCAAACAAAATTATCAACATTCTTAATAATTTATTAAGTAATCAATCAAATAGAGTGATAACATTTTATGGTCTAACAGATGATTTTAATCCAGAAACAGGAATAAAATAAGGAGATGCTTTATCTCCACTATTATGGCATATTTATTATGATCCTTTACTAGCAAAGATACAAAATTTAAAAGAAGGTTATTACATGGAAACTCTGAAATATGGTAACTGACATAATATGAAAATAAAAACAAAGAAATTAAAAATAAATGCAATAGCATTATAAATGATACAACATATTTAACATCAAATAGACAACAAATGGAGACTATAATACAATCAGTTGAAGAATTTACAAAAATAACAGGAATAAAAAGTAATGCAGAAAATCACATTTAATATGTATAAATAACAAAACAGGTGAACATAATATAAACTTTATGAAAGAAAAAATTAATGCAATCAGTAAATATGATCAAATAAGAATATTGGAAGTATATTTAACAGTCAATGGTAAAAAATAATATCAGAAGAATTTAATTGAAGAAAAAGTTAAAAACATATGTAGATTATTAATGTGGAAAAAAGCAACAGGCAAAGAAAAAAGATATATTACTAATCATGTGTTGTTTCCAAAATAGAATATTTGTTAAATGACATTATTATATGAAGAAAATGATATAATTATTTAAATTCAATGGCCTTAAGGTTCTTAAACACAAGGCAGGATTTGTGCAAACAGCAATCAACAGTATGTTTCATTTACCAGATGGATACAAATTATTTGATATTTATGATCACCAGTTACAATTACATATTAAAAACCTATTGGATCATTTAAACAAAGACAATTTAGGATATTATACTATAATTCATTTACAACAGTTTCAAAATTATTTATGGACAGATAAAGAATTTATGAAAATGAAAGATATTATTAAAATAAAAGACCATTGGCATCAATAATAAACCTAGCAAAAGAAATAAATATAACATGGCAAATAATAACAACAGGAATATATGATCTTAATATTCCATATGGAGGAAAATCTTAATAGAAGATATATGGACTAAAAATAAATGACAATGTGAAAAATACAAAAAAAAGCCTTTGAGAAAAAAGAATCTATATACAGAACAGATTATGGATATAGACTTTAAAAATATACTAGAATGGTCACACATAAAGCTCCTAATGTAACGGTTTGGTTCGGTTCTAACGTTGAACTGAAACTGAACCAAAATTTAAAGCACATTTCAGTTTGGAACTGAAATTAAAAACTTCAATTCAAACCAAACTGGAACCGAACTGATCTGAACTGGTTTGCACCAGTTCAAAAATGGTTCAAAGGTTTTTTTTTTGTTAGAGTTTTTGTTTAATTATTAATAATAAATTGTATTATTATAAAATGCAAGACATAACTATTACAAGGATTACATTTATAATTTAATG